GATTTGATATACAAATATTTTATTTCAATTCAATTGTATACAAATTCAAATTTTATGCAGATATACAAACACATAAAATTGAATTGAAAGGCTGCCAACGATTTATACAAACGAGAGGCTGCCAACAATTTATACAAATGGCCTGTCAACGAAATCATACAAATCTGAAGCTCCTGCCAGCGAGTTATACAATCTGATGCTCCATAGCAAACATAAAGTTTGTTATGGAGCGCAATTATACAAACTATAGCTATAACATACAAATATGATTTTTATGTTTGTTATATGTGAAAATTGTTCATAAACAAATACTTCACTAATTTAACTATTTTCTTGTTACAATTCGATAAATAAATAAATAAATAAAATGAAATAAATTTCCCTTTTAATTTACTATACATTTCATTCTTTAATTCTATCACAAACAATTCGTGAATACGGTTTGAATTCACCTATCACCAACATCTAATTTAAATTTCTTCATTGGAGATAGAGAATACTTGGTTCTTTAGAAATTTCTCTAAAATAGTAAAAATAAATATGAATTTCTTCGAAAGATAGAGGTAGGAAGAATTCAGAGAAGTGATTAGATAAGATATGATATGACACAAAACTTCAACTTACGAAGGATATGACTCTAAATAGAAATCTATGGATATCGAAGATTAGTAGGTAATCGAGTATTGGCATACTTTATGTCTAAGAGGAAAGTGACTAGCCTTGGTAGTATTATTTAGTAATCACGGAATTTCTGATTCTTTAATGTTACTATATTGCTCGATTTACTTTATGCTATTTTGTTGTCATAATTTTTTCTTGCAATCATAGATATATTTTTTAAAATTCTTTTGAGCCAAGGGTCTATAAGTTGAAACAACATCTCTATTCCATAAAAGTTAGGAATAAAATATGCGTACATACTATCCATAAGCTTCACCAGTGACATTATACTGGATTTATTATCATTGTTTTGTTATTAATAAATTGTAATTTCATGAAAAGGAGGGAAGAATATTAGAACAGTTCAAATTTTTTTAAAAATATTTCCTAAATTGTACTTTCATGAAAAGGGGGAAGAATATTAGAACAGTTCAATTAATTCTAATTTTTTTCAAAGGCTAATAATAATGTCTGTCGTGAAGGTTACAAAATGGAACCTTTTTCAGCAGAATGTCCTTTAATTACTCTTCATCACACTGATATGTTGGAGAATGTTCTTAATTTTACCAACTCCTATGCTCTCCAAAATTATTAGAAAATTTAATAAAAAAATTATAGTGGTAAGAGTTAATTACATTTTATTCATATTATTTTTCAAATTATAAAAAATTGGTGAAATCTGAATACATTTCAAAACGTCGCGATACATTGCGTCTCAATTTCATATACGACCCTCAACGTCTCGATATATCGCGACTCAATTTCAGATACAACACTAAACATCCCGATACATCGCGTAAAGTGATGTATCCGAGAATAGTAAAGAGTTGGGAATTTTGTCATTTTTTCAAATAGTAATTTTTTTTTTTAGAGAATATGATAAAATAAGTTTGGTATTCAGATAATTTTTCCAAATTATAATCATACACTAGGAAAACAAAACATGGATAACGATTAACTTCTATTTTTTTCCAAAAAATTACTTTGAAAAGAAAGGTCACATTTTAATTTTAATTTTTAATGAAAGGTCACATTTGATTTGAAACTGAAACAAACAAACAAACAAACAAACAAAACTCTGGCTGTTGTATGAGGGTAAGGGATATCTTTTCTTTCATACAATTTGTTTTTATTTAAATAAACACTTTTTGAAATTGAGACTCTAGCTAGATTAGACTAAATTAAATATGTTTACTAGGACAGGTTGTTTCTTCTTCTTCTTCCGTTGAATCAACAAAAGTGTGCAATACTTTTAATAGAATAAAAAATGAGGACAGACTGTAATTGTTAATTACTTCAAATATTAATTTGTGTGTCCTACCATCAAGTTAGACTGTAGACTTTTAAACCCAATTTAGTTTCTTGATTTAAGCAAATCAAACAAGAATATGGACGCCAGCCTATTACTTTGAAATCAGACGAGTAAATTTACAGCTAAAAGTTGATTGTCATTCTTTGAATTCTAAGTCAAAAAAAGGCTTGATACAACCTTATGTGGTGCTCCAGTGGATGAGGTTGTTCTTCCCTTAATCTAAAATTTCAGGTTCGAATTTTATGTATGAAAAAATTCTTGATGGAATCCTATGCGGTGAGTCCGAAATAGTTGGACTCCAATGCAATACTAGATATCGCTGTTGATTTGGAGTCGTGCGGAGCAGTTTGGAGACTAGGGTGAACTCCTAGGGTTCGAAGTTCCGTCTATTTTTGGATAGGATTAGTCTTTATATTGTACTCAGAGACAATTTGTACTTATCTTATATTTGTAAAAGCCATGTACATGTACTCTTGCTTTGGGTTAGATGCCCGATTACTGACTGATGACAGGTCTTGGGTGGTTTCTTGTCTTGTAATTCATTCTGTTTCTTCACATGTTTTAAGCTTTATGCTTCTTGTGTTGGCTTCCGCTTGGTAGTCCGTTGCTAGACATCGGGTGTGAAACAAAAAAGAAAAGAAGCGGCAAGGCAACAATATGAATGTTCTTATTTTTGAACCTTTTTTTGCATATAATTTTTCAACGAAAGAGATTTAATTCTTTAAAGGCAATTACGCCCCTTGACTATACATCGCATAAATTTATTTTTAAAATTTTAAAATTCGAAGTCACCCCATACCATTTGATAATAAGATAAAATAAAGAAAATTGAAGCATTGAACTCTCCCCTATTTTATCCTATATGTCCAAATTGGAACACCCAACAAGAGTAGTTGATCTCCCCTTTCCCAAGGCACCATCTCCCCTTTTATAATTCACTTTTCAATTGCCAAGTGCTTTTAATAGCCAAATATGTTTGGTACGATAAAAGTCATTTTTCATGAAAAATCATTTCCATCTTTTCCAAATATTTTAACTTGCTTCAACAAACACTTGGACATTAATATTAATCTCTACCACTCAAAAATTTCATTCAGAATGTGAACGAGCTAACACAGACGGAGTTATACGAAGAAATTGGAAATAATAAGAAGTGGATAAAGTAAGTAAAAACCAAGTCAGTGTTACCTGCTATGGTGACTTCGAAGTAAAAAGAAAGTCTTGAAGTTTGCTAATGCCTCCCAGCTCACATACATATAAATACTCATCATAAAAAAGAGAGCAAAAATCTATCTATATAGCTTTCTATCTCTTTCAATGGCGCCAATCAAGCTCTAACATAAAACCCCACCTCATATAATACAAAACATTATGGCTAACTTCATTAAACCAAACTCCTCCAATTCTTGATTCCAACATTTAGTACTAGTGTTGTGTTTAGGATGAAGAATATGATACCTGCTTGTTTTAATATTCCTCATAATTCTGAGGATTCAGAAACTTCTTCTCTTCCTCCTCCTTCACAAGTGCCTCAAAATCTTGTTACATGTATATACCAAGCTCAGATTTGTGGTTCACCTGTTTATCTTACACTCACTTGGTCCAAGAACCTGTTTTCACATTCTTTGTTAGTTCATGCACCTGATCTTTTCTCCATCACCATTCCACTCCATCAATCGTCTTTTGCCATATTTAAGGCACGGCCAGGATCAAAATCCGTGCATCCGGTCCAATTACATGACCGTAAGAAGATGAAGGTCCATTGGGACTTCACACTTGCCAAGTTCAATCAGAACTCGGCAGAGCCTGAAGGGTGTTTTTACATTGCAATTACCTGCAATGCAAGACTGGAGTTTTTCCTTGGTGATATGTTGACTGAATTGACGGGACGGGCCAGGCTGGTATCGGGATGTTGCACGGGAGACCTGACTTTGTTGTCGAGGAGAGAACACGTGTTTGGACGGAGGAGTTATACTACACGGGCTCGGATTATGGGGGTTAAACATGAATTTGTGATAGAATGTGGGGGTGGAGTGTTGAAAGTGAAAGTGGATGGGAAAACAAGTCTTGTAGTGAAAAGACTTGCTTGGAAATTTAGGGGAAATGAAAGAATTTTAGTTGGTCAAGTAGAGGTAACCTTTTTTTGGGATGTCTTCAATTGGGTAAATAAAAACTGTGACAATCATAAATTTGGGCATGGACATGGACATGAACATGGTGTTTTTGTGTTCCAAGTAGGTGATGGTGGTGTTTGGCCTGAAATGGGTGGCGCCGAGAAGAAATTGATGAGGAAAAGTTTGTCCGCAACAGCTGGAACGATGTCGACACCACTGTCGGTCTCTTTGTCGCCATCGCCGTCGTGCTCTAGTGTGTTGCAGTGGGCAGAGGAGAACAGTGAATGTGGGAGGAGTTCATGGTCATCTATAAGGTCATATGGGAGTAATGAGGGATTTTCTTTGTTATTGTATGCATGGAGGAAGGATTAGTGAAGATTAATTTGATTTTTTTTGGTTCAGTTACTCAGATTATTTGTGAGTATTAAATTGTAATAACAGAGACCTGTAATTTTATTAGTTCCTGTAATTGATTTTTTTTGGTTCAGTTACTCAGATTAGTTATAATTTTCCCCTATTTTTGCTCCTGCAACTGAATTGGTTCTTACCAAGTCACTAGGAACAGTTCTATTGAACTGCCACTGACAAATTCAAGAGCAATGACTATGGAAGAGCAACCATTTTGGAGAAGAAACGAGGCGACGGCTATAACCACAGAGTGCAAGTGGAGCGAGACAGAAGTTAAGTGTTTATACGTTCCATGTGAAAAACGCGGCTGGATGCGAGGATGTTAGGAGATATCTAAGATTGTTTCAGGATCAAATTCACACAGACAAAGCATGATGGCAATAGTTTATCACAGTAACAATGGTATTGTTACACAAGGAAAGTATCAATGAAGGACTGAAGAATTCCAGAATCATGTAGGTGGAAAAGCTATTGCAATTGCCTTTGAAGGGTAATCGAGATCTCAGTTCGGAGGCAAGATGATGTGCAAGTTAAATTGACATAATAAATATACAGTGAAATGAGTAATTATGATAAATGGATGTCAAGAGAAATTACTTCACCTATTTATTACCTATATTACTGTCTTTCCAACTCGAGCTGTGAAGTAAACTGTAAGAGCCTAAGAGGTGGTTCTAAGATCAGAGTATACATGCTGTATTGAAGCTCAAATAGAAAAATCTGATTTTTCACGAGTCGTCTATAAAGAATATCAGCTAAGGAACATTGCTCTGTAGAATTTTCACTCACCAGAGCTCCTCAAACCAGGCGTAAAAATCTGGCCAACCGCTTCAAGAGCAGAAATGTTCCAGCTCTCAACATGCTTAACAATCTGTTTGGAGATGGGAAATATCAATGAGGGAAGAACATTGCTCTAGTTTTTGAATTGTAGAGATAAAATCTTTTCTACTTACTTTGAGTTGTTCATCTAGATCATAGACCGTTTTCCCATCAACAGAGATGAGAGGCTGCCACGGAAGTTTGAGGGATGTTCTACAAGTCAGATGAAAAATCAGCATGTGAATAGTCAAAAGAATCCTAAGACAACTCTGGTATTCGTTTACATCCAAAAATATTTCACTTATCAGGATCAACCATGCATAATTGACAGAAACAAATGTCAAATGCTTTGAACAAGAGAGCAGTTAATACAATCGGGTAAACAAATATTCGCCTTTAAGCTAACAAATTTTGAGAGTAAAACCAAGTACCTCAGTTTCCAGTATGCCACAATGACCTCTGCATTAGAATCATTACCCTGTACATCAGGCAGATAGGCATTAAGCAAAATGTTCCTGATTTGAAAGGAAGATTGAATATTGTAAATGCACTAAGTAAACAACATATTACTATAATTATAAAAAATGCTTGGAAACATTTGAATGACTATGTTACAACTGACAAGTATTACCGAAAAGTAACTTCATAATCATTTAAGAATGGATGTGCGCTTGGACACCAATAAATGACTCAAGAAGGAAAAAAAATGCCACAAATTTGGTATTATGATGCCCTCATAGTGTTTTTCTTGTGGAATTGGAATCATCAAGACCATCAGTATTCTCCTACTTTTGGAGTGGATAATTGAACTGAGGATGATGTCAACGATATGTTTGGCAGTTTAACATACAAGATAGGTAGTACAATACCAACCCAAAAAAATGATTCAAGGTTAAATCTACCCACAGTGCAGTTTGTTTCAATGAGCCTTCACATTCTGAACCATGCTACCACAATTTGTTCCTAGGTCCAAAATTGGAGACCTTGTTAACAACTAAACTAGGAAAGATCCCATTTCATATGGAAAAGTCAAAATACTACATATAAAAATATAACTAGATTCTACTTTACATACACTCTACCCTCCCCACATCCCACTTGTGGATTTCACTGGGTATGTTGTTGTTACTCTAGCAGTTTGAGAAAACACTTGCTAAGGATTTTACTAGTAGATTCAACACTCTAGGAGAACAGCACACAATTTCTGATGGGTGATTTGAAAAAGGGAAAATGCATAAGTACCCCCCAGCCTATGTCCAAAATCCCAGAGACACACCTAACCTTTACTAAGGTCCTATTACCCCCGAACTTATTTTATATATAATTTTCTACCCCTTTTTGGCCTACGTGGCACTATCTTGTGGGCCCAACGCTTGTTGACTATTTTTTCAAGGATAGTGCCACGTAGGCCAAAAAGGGGTAGGAAATTATATATAAAATAAGTTTGGGGGGTAATAGGACCTTAGTAAAGGTTAGGTGTGTCTCTGGGATTTCGGGCATAGGCTGGGGGGTACTTATACATTTTCCCTTTGAAAAATATTAAAGTACCAATATCATACTTGGGCTTAAAACAATAATTGTAATGTCTGTCCTCCCAATTGTCAGTCACCACATTTACAATCCCATTTCAAGCATGAGAATTATGAGCAAAATAGTCTGTCTTATTATGACTGGAGCTACCATCAAACTCCAGACAGTGTTATGGGTTTCCAGACTTACAAGATAATCTGGTTTATAAAGGCCACTGCTATGGAGGTCTTGGTGGAAAGAAATTCCTGGTGAATTCATTCTAAGGAAGTTGCATATTAATCATGCCATTACATTGTAAGTTTAGTTATTTAATTGCATTGAGTTAGCCACTATTATCCTTCATCTGTATGGTAGATAACTTAGCTATCCTTTAAGTAGAAATATGCTTATGCTTAATAAAATAGCTAAAAATGTTTCCATCTATTGATGATCAGAATATAGACTTCACTTCATTGATGTAACTAAGAAAAGAAGAAGAGTTTATTGCAAATTTACTAGCAATCTCCAACAATAGATTCAGAATAATCACTTTGGTAAGTGATCCCTTTCATATCACATATCTGAATGACAAGTAAAAAGTTTGAGCTGTGTGATCCCAATAAAATAAATAACAAAGAACAACCAGTTCTATCAGCAAAGTCTCAAGTTAGAGTAATCTTCTCTCCAAAGTTTTCTCTCTGAAGAGGACAGAAATGAAACAGATCAGACTACTGACGCACTCCATATCTCCTTCAAGGGGCAAGAACTAATGAAAAGAACAAAACACTTCTCACTAAGCATTCAGCGAATGTTATGTCTTCTTTTGGATTTGTTTTGTTTCATCTTTTTATTCTGTAATACTATTTATGAACTTGCAGTACATACCTTCTCAATCTTTTCTAATTTGATTGATGGACTATCAAAAAACGGTACCAGCAATTGCAAGTTGCGGGAATACAAGTCCCTTCCTGGATGACACAATCATAAAATAAGGTGAATTATCTTTTGTTTGTTGTTAAACTAAGTTAATTTCTAGCTTTGGAAGATTGATAATTCTCGTAGTTTATTCATCTAATGGAGCATACTACTACTAAGCTAGTCTGGAAACTGACATAGATGTTTAAAGTACTGACACTAGCAACAGATACAGGATAAAAGAGGCAAATACAAGCAATATTACAAAGCAAACATGTCACACATAGAATAAATTAAGCGATAGAAGCTGTCAATTAAGATGTTTATGAAAACCGGAAAAGAAGCCAGTATTTACACTCAATGCGCAAATAGCACAGATACATGATAATATTAGAGTTCACATTAGTAGATTGTCTGGCCATGTCTTATGCCACCTCCAAATGCAGAGATCAGTATGTATAATAAAGTTCTTCAAACATGAATTGAAAATCAAACTTATTAGTGAAAAGAACGGGTTTATTAAAGGTTATCGATGATACTATGTGAAGGAATTGAGAAGCCTAATACTTTTTTAAAAAATTCTTCAAGACTGAGTGCGGTGCGGGACATAAATGTGGAATTTTTTATACAGATAAGCAAGGAAATTTCCTGGTGCTGCCATAACGGTGATGCAAATATCAAATAATGTGCCATCCGATATAGAAAATGATTCCTCTTACCACGGAATTTTATAGTTGGATCTTCAAAGACACAGTCTTCTGCATAAATTCCACTGGTGAAGAGGCCTAAATTGAATGAAAGCTCTAAATTAGTGAAAGACCAGTTTATCTTTAACCACATTAACAGGCTTAAACTTTAACTGACACATTATTCACAATCAGAAAAAAGAAAACTTTGTCCTCCAAGTAATGAAAGATTTTCACATAGTAAAGCAAAGAAAAATTTGTGGATCACCCACCTCATACTGTGAAGTATAAGATAATAAAATCATAAATCAGTTTGACAACTCAAAAAATAAAATCTTGCTACAAACATTTTACATGGAAGACTTCAATCAAACAAACTCTCTTTTACGTTTTTTCAGTCTTCACTCAAGTCCGTGTTTATGTTTCGACTTACATGTTGGCTTCAGAAGTGCAGATATTTAGGAAGTATATACTCTTTCCATTTCAATTTGTTTGTCTTACTACTTCCTTTTTAATCCGTTTCAAAAAGAATGTTTTTTTCCTCTTTCCGACTACTCTTTAATCCTAACTTCCCATGTGACATATTTAAAACCACAAGATTAAAGCGCATTTGAATACATTTTACGTATCTTCAGTTTAAGAACCGAACACTCAAAAAGTCTTATTTATTTTTTTAAACTCCGTACCAAGTCAAAACCAGATAAACAAATTAAAACAGATAGAGTACTAATTATTACTAAGAGATAAACAACACTACCTGTAACAAAATAAGCTTTCTCATAATCTAACTTGATAATCTTGAGGACATCTTCTACATTATAAACCAAAGGCTCTCCACCCCCTTCATCATCAGATACCCCCAATCTAGCAAACATTATAATAATATTAAGGAAATCAAAAATGAAATCTTGAAAATAGAAATACCCCCAATTTAAGAAAATGCAAAACCTGTTTGTTGATGGTGAAGGGAGGAGCCTGAGTAGTTCAGTGACACCACTGACTGCAATTTTCAACAACTTGGGTGTTTGGGTTTTCACCTTCTGATTATTGGGTGCAGGGGAGCAGCAGTAGAAACCACCTTGCCCTTTCTGATAAGAAAAAAAAAAAAACAAGAATTGAACTGGAGAAAGCAGAAATTATTTATTTTTTCTTCAAGAAATGGCAATTTTACATTTTTTGATAAACAATTTTACCTTGTTGATGAGGGTCTGTGAAAGGCTACTATAGCAACACATACCCGCCATTTTCTTTGCCTAATTTCTGGTTTGATACCTGTCACTTGTCAGTTTGCCTAATTTCTGGTTTGATATGTCCTATAATTTTGGGATATATAATGGGATTATTTTATTTTGTATTTGATAATAAATATTATTTTATTTTATAGAATCTAATTTCCATCCTCAACTGATGACCAATATGAAATAATAATATAAGTTTAGTATAATACATGAGTATTTAAATAATTCGATAGTTATATTCATTAAAATTTGAAAAAAAAAAATATAAACATAAAAACTAAAATACACATTTTTATTAATTAATTAAAATTAAATATCACAAAAATTAAAATCAAAATTTGTTGATATTCCAAGAATTAAACCCCTATTTCTCCTTTTTCTTTAATTTTCTAACTCAAGATTTAATTTAACTTAGAGGGAAGGCAAAGATTGATAGCTAAAATTATGTGTGGCGGTTAATTTTACTAAAAGAAAAAGTGTCAAAAATAAATGATGCAATGGATAGAGTTGTTTTCTTATTAATCAAGAGGTGTTGATTTTGAATCCTCATATGAAAAAATCTTTAGTAATTTAATATAAATTTAAATTAGTCAAACTTCAAAGCACACAGATGTCTAGCGTGGCATCTATAAATGGGAGTGACTAATTTTTTTTTTCTAATTTGGTGCTTAAGCGCACTATATTTCAGTAAGTGGTAGTGGCGGTAACACAGCACCATTGCCTTTGTCTGTGGTCTCATCCATTAACCAACCGCACATCACTTCACTACAAAACAAACCCAATTCTACTACAATTTAGCACCAATTAAGTAAGAATTTCTCTAGGCCAGTTATGGTATCTTCTAATCTTTAGATACCCTTTCTTCTTCTTTTGTTTTCTTTCTTTCTTGTTTAAACCATTTTCTTGATATTTAACAAGAAAATATTTCCTTTTTTTCCTACCCACCTAACTGGGTAGAGAACAATTCCATGGCTACTTCTTCAGCTTATCTTTGTTGTCCTGCGACTTCTGCTACTGGAAAGAAACATGTTTTCCCAAATGGGTCACCTGGATTCTTGGTTTTTGGTGGTAATCGTTTGTCCAACCGGTTAGTGACCCGAAAGTCGGTTATTCGGGCTGATTTGGACTCTATGGTTTCTGATATGAGTACCAACGGTAAATTTTATCCACCTTCCTATTTTGATTTTTCATATTTTGTGTGTTAGTAAGGATTCTTGGATTGTAATTTGAGATATTGAACTGAGTTGTGGAAGGGTATTATGTAAATTTGTGTTTTTCTGTGCGTATATTTTGCAGGGAAGTTGTATTTGGGTTTTTGATTTTGTTGTCTAATTGTGGTGGAAGATGAGATTTTTTTGAAGGGTACTAAGACACATACATTGAGGTTAATATGTGTTTTGATGGATGCTTTGCATATCAGCCGTTTGTTTCTTTTAGAAAATTGGTTTTCGAGTGTGTCTTGATTGAACATTTGCGATTACTCTTTGAGCTTTTGCTCCTTAAACTTGGATCATTTGACTTAGAGGGGTGGTATTTAATCTATGTTGTGAATTCAGAAGTGCCAGTGGGAGAGAGGATTTTTAAGGTTGATGGTTCTTTGTACTTTTATATTTTCTTTTCTATCATAGATTTCTTTGTCTAAAAGGAATAATGACTAGCAAACTAGGGCTTCTTGCTTTTCATGTTCAGTTTTGCTTTGCAAGGACTACTGCAATGCATCACATCCAAACCACTAATCCAATAAAAGAGTAAGCGGCCATAGGTCAGAGGACTGGATTCTTGTAATCTTTTTGCTCCAAATAGTTTCAGATTGAATTTAGTTACGAAAACGTGTTTGCTTGTGGTGGGGGAAAGGGAGAGGGTGGGGCAAAAATGATTAAAATATGAAATTGTGAGAAGCATGAACTCATTCGCTTTTGTCTACTTGCTTTGTCAGGATTAGTCTAGGACTGGATATGTCAAGAATATCAGGATTTCTTTTTGGTTCCTTTAGCAATTATAGAAACAAAAGCACAGGCAATATTGGAAATCAAAAGAACTTCACAATCGTTTCAATCTTCTCTCTTTAGACACCTGAAATATATACTTCTTGTGTAACTTAAAGATAAACTAGATGTTGTACCAAAATATTGAAAAAGAAGTATCTAAATGAGGTAAAATAGAAGTTGTGGTATAGTGCCATGAAATCGGGAGGGACATTTTCTGTTGTATAAGTCAATGAACTGCTGCTTAACCAAAATTTCAACTTGTAGCTCCAAAAGGGCTATTTCCACCTGAGCCTGAACATTATCGGGGGCCAAAGCTGAAAGTAGCTATTATTGGAGCTGGGCTTGCAGGCATGTCGACTGCTGTGGAGCTCTTGGATCAAGGACATGAGGTTCAGAAGCCTAACATCCCTTTCAAGAAGTGCTATAATCAATTCACTCGAAAACAAAACTATTAATCAAAAAATGAAAAAAATGAACAAGAAAAAGTTGTCTTTATCTTTGTGTTTTTCCCTGTGACCTGGAATACATCATGCCTTCTACTTTTTTTCAGGTGGATATATACGAATCAAGGACTTTTATTGGTGGGAAAGTGGGTTCTTTTGTTGATAGACGTGGGAACCACATTGAAATGGGACTTCACGTGTTCTTTGGTTGCTATAATAATCTGTTCCGTCTGTTGAAAAAGGTGCACAGAGCTCACCATTCATAGTTCTATAGTATTTCAACTTACTGAGTGGTTGAGCATGCAATATAACTGCATTATTGCTCACTAATATTTAAAGTGCATTTTCAATATTTTAGAGTAAGGTTTGTGCTGAGTATTTATGCCAGTAGAAATGCCTAAGATTAACCTTCATTTAATAGTAGGACATGGAATATTGAAGTGCCAAGGAGTCTTGATAGTTTTTTTTTTTGGTTTCCTGTTGATGTTTATCAGTTTAGTAATTCTATTTCTTTTTTCCTGGTTGATGTAGGTGGGTGCTGAAAAAAATCTGCTAGTGAAGGAGCATACTCACACATTTGTAAATAAAGGGGGTGAAATAGGGGGTATGATTTTATATGTGATACAAAATCTTTCATCTAGGGGAACTTTAAAATGCTTTCACAAATGACTCCTCAAGGAGCATGTCTTCCAATATATACAGTTAGCATGGTCTGTTTTATTTATACTTTGTGGTCTATACCCTCAATGCAGAGCTTGATTTCCGCTTTCCAGTTGGAGCACCCTTGCATGGAATTAATGCATTTTTGTCTACTAATCAGTTAAAGGTAACATGCTAATGCCCTCTTCGTACTTTGATTTTTCAATTCATGCTATATCTTATACTAAGGAGTAAGGTTGCCTTTGAAATTTGACTTGTGTGCTGCTGCTCATACTTGTGGGTGGAATCTGTTAGTATATCATTTCTTGCTTAGAAAATTTAGCATACATCTAGTAATACTCTTCTTCTTCTCCTTAACTTAAAGAGGAAGGATGAAGAATAAAAATTCAGAAGTCTAAATTTGGTGCTGGTAGGAGGAGAGAAGCAGGATGTGAGGGTAAGGTGCACCATGACATCTTCGAGATTGCTGTTTGGCAGTAAATTTAAAGACAGACTAAGAGGTTAAGTTGCTGAATAGGCAATACATTTTCTTGAAATGGTAGTATTATTCACAAGCACAGCACTAAGAAAGTACTGCAATACATCGAAAGGCGAAAATTTACACTATTGAAGGCCACCTTTTAATATATCAATGTATTATATGTGCTTATTTTGTATGTCATCTTATGTTGTTAAAAGGTTGGGGAATAATGAGGTATTTATTGTTTGAACGTAAGGACGGAGAACTTTGTAGATTGCAAGCATATAACAACATCACTGTACCAAGAAGAAGTGGGAATATGAGATAATCTACCTTTAATGTGGCATTACTAGGTTAGTTACTGTTAAGGTTTGCACTGGGAGAGGGGTTATCACTTTGTGTGGCGGCTACATATGGTATGCAATGATATTTGCTTAAAAAAGTTCTCTTTTCCACCTTTGTTCTAAAGTGCTTGCAAGTATTGTTTCTGCATATATGTACTTGCATGTAAAACTATAAAGACGCAGTGGCCTAATCCAATCATGGAAAGAGAAATTGTTGGTGGGGAAAGGTATAAAGAGAGGGTCAGAACACTTTGAGGACACAATTGACAGGCAAAACTAAAGGCAAACTCGAGAGGAACAACTTCTTTTTGTCTCTTTTGAGCTTTTTCCCCATAAATAAACAGAGATATGTGATGTCTTTTATGTGTTGCTGTTGTTGGAAACCCCGATCAATGCTCATATAATATGTGATTGACGTTAACGTGTTCCTCCCTTTAAATGGCAGATTTACGATAAAGCTCGAAATGCTGTAGCTCTTGCCCTTAGTCCAGTGGTGCGGGCTTTAGTTGATCCGGATGGTGCATTGCAGCAGATACGCAATCTAGATAATGTAAGGGTTATTTCCTTCTTCTTTTTTCCTTCTTGTTTACAACTCAGATGGTCTGTTTCTTTCCTCTCCCCACTACTTGTTCCTTATATTATGTAATGTCTGTTTCAGGTAAGCTTTTCTGAGTGGTTTCTGTCTAAAGGTGGGACGCGTGCTAGCATCCAGAGGATGTGGGATCCTGTTGCATATGCTCTTGGATTCATTGACTGTGACAACATGAGTGCTCGGTGTATGCTCACTATATTTGCATTGTTTGCCACAAAAACGGAGGCTTCCCTATTACGCATGCTTAAAGGTTCTCCTGACGTTTATTTGAGTGGTCCAATTAAGAAGTACATCATGGACAAGGGGGGCAGGTAAGACCAAATATGGAAACAGCTGTGCACTGTGAATTAGCAGATTTGGACCTCGAATTATCTCTTTTTTGTGAACTAGCAGATTTAGGCCTTAAATTTTCTCTTGAATGAACTAGCTATACTCAACTTACTCTGAATCTATTCTTTGTTCACAGGTTCCATCTGAGGTGGGGATGCAGAGAGGTACTCTATGAGACATCCTCTGATGGAAGCATGTATGTTAGTGGGCTTGCCATGTCAAAGGT